TTCGAAAAAAATAAACTTTTTTGAATTTTGTTTTATTTACGGAGAAAAACTCAACTCACTGAAACCATATGATCCAAAACTCACAAATTTGCAAAACAAACCCGATTTACAGATTTGACTAGAATTTTCCAAGTCGTTTTTTTCAATAATGTTTCAATGTGGCTTATGCACTTTGTTGCCCCGAGCCCTTCAATTTATACATAAGCAAATTTTCTTGTAGCATTGTTTACATTTTGCAGTAAACTATTGAGTTCTGTTTTTAGCTGATAAATTATGTTCATGTAAATGGTTTGAATGTAGACAATGGTAATGTTCTTGCTACTACTGCTGGCTGGGAATGCTGGGCTGGGACACAAACAAAAAAAACAAGGCAGCACAAAGCACCAGATCAGTTTCTTACAAATTATAACCTTTTAAGTAACTGGCACGTTGGAAATACTTTACGAAAACATATTAAACATAAATCAGTTGAATGCAATTTATTTTTTTTATAACACACCTTTTTAGCTTGATTACTTCTAGTACTCTATTTATTTCAATGTCCTCACATAAAATGAGCAATAATACGTAACAATAACGATAAAATACACACTGAAGTTTATTTGTGGTATTTTTTATATAAATCCACTATCCAAATAACAAATTCTCCGTTTTTAAGCTGTGAATGTATTACAAAAACTACTTCGATAAAATGTAAACAAAAGTTTGTATTTGTGTACGAAATACGGGTTGCCTGTGCATGGTAGCAAATTATTAACCGAATTTATGACAAGTGTTAGATTATATTCCAAAAACGCCAGAGCAATAACAACTGCGCGTCTTTTTCCCGCCCAGGGAGTGTCATTACTGCTAGAATATTTATACTGGGGTCAAATAATTTTCCAATAAACTTGCATCTAATTCAAATAAAATTTCTACCGATTAAGGCTTGGCCTCTAAACGATCGATGGTTCGCGTTGGAATCAATCAAATTTCTAATGGATGAGTGATGACTTGCTTCTTTTTTCAATACCTTAGAGGTAAATGAACTCTGATAATGTATTATATATTTTGGAATATCAAGTCATTCGTTTCATTTTACTTTTAAATTTTTAAACGTTTTCTAATTTATTAACAGAATTTTTCTTCCTCCATACTTCTTAAAAAGTTGGATAAAATCAGTAAGGTATTAGGACATAAAAAAGTAATTTTAAATATTAGAGGTATTGTTTATGCAATCTCATTTGATGACTAATTATTACTATATTTGTGTTTTATTTTTTGTCAACTTGATATGAAGTCGTTGTCATTATTTTAATTAATTTGACTAAAATATGTTTAGCTACAAAATTAACACATTTGATATAGTCGCGCAAATTTATTTTTTCTCGTTTTTTACCTTTTCAAAAAAGATCAGTTTTGATAGTAAAATTCAAATTTTAGTTAGATTTTCTAAAAAAATATTTATAATTTAACATATTTAAAATTATTTTGATTTAAATTTTTGTTTCTATGATGTAATGCCAAGAAAACAAAAATATTATAATAAATAATATTATCTGGGTATCTGCAACAGGTTATGGTCCCACATACGAAAAACGGATTACATTTTTTGAAAAATGGCCAGTAAATGCTTCTTTCACTACAGCAGTCTTTTCTAAATTTCATACCAAATACCAACAATTTGGTGAGCAAGACTATGAAGTTTAGCTTATCGTTAAAGGGCTTATGGGATAGAGAATCTACTAAATATTCAAATTCTTTGATTAAAGAAAAGTATAACAAAGTACTGCAAAACTATCTTAATGTAATAAACCAAAATGTTATGTTCAGGTTTATAAAGCTTCTACATCCCAAGGAGTATATCAGTGATATTATGTCAACAGTTTTCAAACTAATAGATATAAGTGTGACTGTCGAAGATGACTTTGTTGCATTTGTAATTTGAAACGGTTTAAATACCAAACATTAAGCTTTAGTTAGGACAATGACTCCTAATAATAATAAACTTTCATCGGATGACGTGAAAACTAAATTCATTGAAGAGAATGTAAGACTTAAATCATCACATGGACAAAAAAAAACAAAATTAAAAAGTAGCCTCGTAATAAAAAAAAAAAAAAGCATGGCACTCGGGGACTGCCGCGGTAAAGCTATTACATTATCAACTTATGCAATTATAATTATTTATTTTATTTATGCAGAATTTTATTTTCTTTGATATTAATTCAAGTTTTTTCTTTGATATTAATTCAAGTTACACTTTTTGAGCGTGGTGACCGACGAGTAAAACACTATACTTTTTCTACGAACTCTATTATGTCATGTAGGTACCTACTAAAATGAAAAAAAAAAAACAAACGTTAGCAAATGCTTTATTTTGTGTTAGGAATAACAAAAAATTAACCAACAATTAAATATTTCAGAAATATTATTTATTATTTAAATATTGATTTATTGTTATATTTGAACAATTGTTCAAAATTATGGGGGTATCGCACTCAAGCTTTTTATTTATTGAGGTAGATGTCGACATATTTGTTCTACTGTTAAATGTCATTTCAGATGATGATGCGCCATAATCGGATGAACTAGTAGTTTCCTTATTTTGTACAGATTGTAAAATTTTGGTTTGTATTTGGTTTTTACTGTTCGTGGATTCATCAACATATCCTTCCGCAACACTACTAGATTTTAACCACCGTGCTTTTTTAACAGAAGCTAGTCACCTCCTGCATCCACTAGTAGCGTTGCGGATGTTCTGCGGAAACAGTGCTCAGTGTAATCTTGAGGATTCGGAAGCGTTAAAACTGAGCAATTTCGTTAGGAAATTTACTGATTTTATTAATTCCAACAACCTGTCTGCTACACTTTCCATTCTGATAGTTAATAAAGAATCTTGAATTAATTTGATCCATGTTTGCGGGACGTAGGCTCATATATTTTTTAGAAATATCATAAAAGGGTCCAGAAATATGAAAAGAACGCGGAACTTTTGTTTTTGTATTACGGATTTTAACTAACAGAATACTTCCAGTATCCTTTACATCGCTTATTGTTAAATCTTTTAGTTCGTGGCAACGACAAGCGCCAGATAATCCAAAAACTAATGCTACCTACAAATATTAGTAGTTATGTATTAAGTATTTGTTAAAATAAAAATAATAATTCCGTTACCTTTGTTAATAAATATTTATAGTCAGGTGCATTCTTTAGGAAAAACTTTATGTCGTCAGGCGAAAAAATTTTGGATTTTTGGCTTTTAAAACCATCAGATTTTCTTTTCAAAAGCGAACGTAACTTTGGATATTTACTAATATCGACATCATTTTTAACAGAGAGTGTAGTTCTTAGCATCGAATAAATGGACCATAACGTCGACGGTTTAAAATTTGAACATATTTCTCCAAAGTATGCTAGTAGTACAGTTTCCGAAAATGATTTCACTTTATTTTTTCTCTCCAGTCCAAAAATTTGATATAAATTTCTTCATATCTCTTTTTTGATTTGGCCGGTTATAAATCTGAAGAGGTTTCTTCAGCTTTAAAAATAATTTCTGGGGGAGTACAATCGCTTTCTGACTCCGACATTATAAAAATGTGTTAAATTTAGGACGAACTAAAACTGACAGTTGTTCTCAAAAGTGATAAAACTTCAAATAAACAAATGAAAACCAAGAAACCAGATGTAGATTGGTTTAATTTTTATACATTTTTATTTTATCTTTAATTCATTAAAGTTTAGGTAAAAACGAATATAGAATTTAATGAGCATCTTTTTATTTCATTATTAATAATTATAAGCTGCCAAAATATTATACGAGGCGACTGATATATGAAAATATGTATCAACTTACTTTCGTCACTAGAGACGAAAGTAAACGTTATGGGATTTTTTCTCACTAGTGACGGAAATCAAGTTATTGCTGAAAGTATCCTGTGGCAAAAGATGTCTTTTTGTAAGAGTTCGTAGAAAAACAATTTTTTTTCTTTTATTGATTAAATATTGTTTAAAATATTTTATTATTTTACAATACATGTAGGTTATTCAGGAATATTTATCATTGAAACTATAGTTTTATGGTAACTGAAATAAGAAACATAAGTTTGAGACTTGATCCTCTAAATATCTGAAAATACCGCGTCAGTGGTGGTCCCATATTTTGTTGTGGATTCTTTTGGACCATTATTTATTTTCAAATTTAATTTTTCTGAAATTGTGTCTAAAAGAGATAGAATCAGTTATGAGCAGTTAGCAGCTAGTCTACACGCATACGTCTAGTTGCACGCACACAAACACCATGCCGAAGTGAAACGACGTTAGACGATGCACGGCTTTCAACGCCGCACCGCTGTGCCAGTCGGAGTGGGCGTGTTAAGTTTATTTTTGTTACGGAATTTCTTTTTCGATTTTTTTATTTTTCGATGTCACCATCCCATTTAAAATAAATGGAGACGACCGCGAGGCTTTCTGTGTGATAATTTATTTGACAGACAATGATCCATCGGGTTGTGAATTGGCTATTCTGCATAACCTCTAGATCCTGGTTTAAAACCAAAATTGCTGTTTGTGGATTATGGTCCTTTTCATATGCTGACTTATACTGCGAGAATCCAGGAATATAATACTTGCCGTTTGTAAACAAATTATTGAGACGTTTCTTTTTTCTGCCAAAGGTCTTATTTCATTTGTTTCCAGTCGTCCGTTTCCTAAATTTGCCCAGCCTCTTATATTGAATTTACTGACCATAGTCAATATTTGAAACTAATTCTCTTGTCCTTTTAATATATGTTGGACACTTATTTGTTCTGGCATCATGTTTGTCCTCTTATATACCAGCAGTTATAGCACTTTACGACCAGACTGACAATTCCTTGTATCGTGGTTCTTGGCACATTTGGCACAGTTGAAATCTCCTCGGCAGTGCTGTTGTAGGTGTCCGTATTTAAGGCACTTAAAGCACCTTAGTACCCTGATATGGTCTTTAACAACGCAGAAAGACCATTTTATGTAAACTCTACCTTCTTTAACCAACAGCTTTCTTGCCCCCGTTAGGGGCACCTCAAAAGCGGCCTTTAGGTCCTCACTACTGACTTCGCTGGGAACCCCGTATACCGCGATTCTTGGCGATAGTTTGCCTTGTATTTCGCATTTAAGACCTATTGATTTTAACAGTTTTTTATTTATTTTTGATTCGTCAAACTCTTTTGCTTCGATTCTCGCCCCATTTTTCCCTGATTTTAGCACCCTGTCGGGTTTCATTCCCAGATCACAAGGTTTCATTCTAGTGAGTAGTAGTTTTTTCGTGTCATCGCACGTAAGATCCGACGTGTCATCTATTGGGACCATCTTCAGTATCTTCCTGCGAACCGGCATTACTGATTTGCCTGTCGGAATTTGCACTTTATCTGTTTTGGCTGCTAACGCGTAAGTTTGTGCTTTACTTACTTTCTCGTCTATCTTATCCTCGAGTTCACTTAATTTAGACAGTATTTCACTATCGTCCAATCTATGGCAATGCAGCGTGGCCAGTCGGAAGAAGGAAACTAAAAGATTTTCCAATAGGCTAGTTATTTCCTGCTTTTTCGAGAGGCTAACTTTTAAACCTGTAATTGCTTGATTGGCAGCCAAGCGATTAGTTGGGAATTCTTGCATATCATCCTGTAGGGCCTGACTAGCAAAGTCCCCTATTCTCGCTAGCAGCTCAGATGCCACAGGGTCGTCAGAACCAGATCCTTTAGAGCTGGAAGGCATTGTAATGCTAAAATTACTAATACAAAAAGCTTTATAACATATATTTTATCGAGTAACACTTATTTCACGAAAGCTGGTCCTTCCTAGCGTACTGTTCTTTCCCCCCTCGCAGTGGGAAAATGCCTTCTTAGCCGTAGGCTAGGACTTATACTCGCGTGGTCTTATTAGCAGTGTACAAATCCTTTTAAATCGCGTACAATGCGAGATTTTACTGCCTGCTAGTCGTTTCCACCTTCACCACGAAGAGGCGGGGCCCCAGACTTCCGTAGAGCACGACCAGCTAGTTTTCTTGACTAACGTCACTTTGTGTTCGCTTTTATTATAGTCACTTATTGTCACGTATCACTTAATTTAAACACTATTTGCTGGTCGAAGGCGGAAGATTTATTCGCTATGAAGAGACATGGACCTAGTTAACAAAGAAAAGATAGCTTTTACCACCATATCTGGGTTGTGGAAGTTTATTGGCTTGCCATTTGGACTATGTGGTGCCCCCGCGACATTTGAAATACTTATGTTAAACGTATTGAGAGGGTTATCTTGGAAAACATGCCTGATGTATTTAGAGGACAAGACCACAATATAGAAATGGGGAAGACATTTGATAAACATCTAAAGAACTTAGAAGACGTTTTTAAAATAATCCAAGCTGCTCTATTGACGCTAAACCACAGAATACTTTTACAGAAGCGAAGGCACGTCAATTTTTGGGGTCCAAAATTTTTTGCGCATGATCAGGGCCGCCATTTTATAACCGGCAAAACTGTCATGTCACGAGTGTTGTTTTGATGTGTGAGGATCAGTCATTTATAATTTATGATTTTTTTTTTATCGAATTTAAGTGTATTTTAGTGTTTTCCTTTGTATATTTTTTAACAATTATTGAGTATATCTGTGTTTAGTGCTTTCTTTTGTCTATTTTATGAACATTGTTCAGTAAACATGTTTTTAATCGAAGTCTTTTTGTGGTATGTGCTGAGCTATTTACATATTTTTATTTATTTTATTAAAGCAAAATAATTTTTTAGTGAACTGATGGAATCTAAAAGAAAGAGATGTGTTTATCGCCCATGTCTACCTCGAACGGATTCGAATACTAGTTATTTTTCATTTCCCAAAGTTTCAGAAAGGTATGCAAAATAAATTATGCAATTTAAATGACTATGGAGCAGATCCCATCGAGAACGGCTTCGAGTAAAATGAGTAAAACGAAGTACTTTTCAAATGCAGCAGTGTTAACTGTATGTTATTTATTTGGCTATTTAATCAAAACAATTATTTTATTATCATTTTTAAATCAAATTATATTTATGTACCTATGACAATGTATTTTGTATTTTTTTTAGGTTTCCCATGTTGTTAAGAGCCTGTAGTCGAGAAGACTTGATTAATATAACCAGTGAATAATTACACAAAAGCTACCAGTTGTGTAAAAAACATTTCCAGCTCAGTAGGTTTTCATTTGGATCAACTCGGAAATGTTTATTTGAAAATGTACTTTTGACAATATTCTGACACACACCCACAACAAATGAAATAATTGATCATTCTGAATGAATCTGTACCCTACTAAATCCCACGACGATTTTCTCAGTACACCAGGTATTAAAAATAATATAAAAGTGTTGTTTTTATGTATTTTTTTAATTTAAATATTTTTTTTTAGGTCCCAGCAAAAGAATGACTAACTTTGAAGATTGAAGAGATATTGTTGTTTCTATTTTGATAATGCATCTGCCAGTCCCAAAAATATCCTTCGGTTGGGCCACAATTTTTAAACCAACCATTTGCAGATTAGTTAAATCTCAAGCGGAATTTAAAAACAAAACGCCTCTAGCTAGAAGACATTCCAATGAATACAAGCAGTTTACGCTTACCTTGTATTTTTTAGGACCTAGGGCATATTCCTTTGTCTAAAATTTTGTGCCTTTTGATGTGTAGCTATTTTTCATATTGATATTTTTATTAATCTGATTTTTGTAATATGTGTTTTTCGCATTTTGGTTTATTAAAATTAATAGTCAGTATGGGTACGTGTTTTATTTATAACAACCTTTTTCCTACAGTACTTTTCTTCAAATCTCAATTTAATTCATAGTTCTAATAATTATGCATCTAAAAATGCCAATTTATGTATACAACAAATTCATATGATTTATAAACAAATCCTAAGTCGTCTGGATTTATGAAATACAGCTACGAGGATGTGCCATAATATAGGTTTTCCAAAATAAAGTCCTAAGATGTATCATTGATGCACCCTGGCTCTATCTAAATGATTATCTTCATACAGACAAATAAGAAAAAGAGGTTACTGCAAAACATGAGGGTCGACTCCACTCCCACGTTAATGAAGTGCTGCAATTACTGGACAGCTGTGCACAAAAGACTCGAAAGAAAAGCCATTTGAGCTGGTGCTAGTGTAAAACAGTGTAATAAATCGATACGCCATTTATGGGTGATGCTTTTCTACCAACGAATACTAGATTAATTTTGTTTACAAAAATGGAATTGTAAAAAATCGCAGATTTATCCACCGAGTTGTCAAATTATTATAAGAGTATGGCGAAAGTCTTAATACGAGGATTGTTTATGGTATTATTGACATATAATAAGGTTCTAAAATACATAAAAGGCTTTCAAAATAACAGTTCGGAAGTATTTGCATTTTTAATGCCAGTTATTATCAGTTTAATCTATTTTTCTAGATCCAACTATCATAGTTGAAGGTGTTTTTCAGGAAAGTATACAATTAGTTAATACATTAATAATTTGTAATAGAATCCCTCTGTTAAAGAGTCAATGTTATCTAAAAAAAACTGATGAATTAAGTACAACGAGAATTCGGTCTGGTTCCTCAAGTAAAAACTCTTTTTTAGTATAGCGATCAGTAAAATTTACTTCAAAATAAATTATTGTGAAGCCTTATTTTTTCTAATTATATCACTAACCTTCAATTCAGAGAAGAAATAGTGGATGTTGCTAAATAAGTTTGTTACATACATTTAAATCCTTTTCTCAGTGTATTATCCGAATTTATAAGAATCTTGGTAATTTTTACCAGTGTAACAACCGGCAAGAACGTCAACTGTCAGCGAGTGTCACTTTAAATTTTGCCTACCCCGACATCAAACGTGCCGACGCAAGCCTTCATTTCTGTAATAGTGGTTATTCTGTGGCTAAATTCTAAGAAACTTCAAAATTTCAAAACAAAGTTAATAACCTGGGTTATGTAGTAAGCAAGGAAGGATGATATGGCTGCAGACAAGGAGAAAGTGGCTTATATCAAACAATGGCCACAACCAACTGGTAAACATCAAATAAAATTTTTCTTGGACTTTGCATATACTACCGAAGATTCATAAAGAAGTTCGCAGAAATTACTAAGCCATAAACATGACTCACAGAAGAAGGAAGAGAATTCTGCTGGGAAAAAGACTGCTTTTGAAATATTCGGGAAGCATTTAACAATAGCGCCAATACTAGGCTACCAGGAGGGAGAATTTAGTTTGGATACTGATGCTAGCAATGTGGGAATTAAAGGAATGCTTTCACAGATTCAGGAAGCGAAAGAAAGGGTACGTACTGGGATATTTTAATAAAGTGCTCTCGATTTATCATGCAGCTCTTAAGTGGCTTATGCAGTTCAAGAACCCGGGGAACTCAATCGCCATATGGATTGAACGACTTAAAGAATACGACTTTAAGATAGAACATAGAGCCGAAATAAGCCACATAAATTTTGATTATTTTTCTAGAAGACCGTGTCCAGCAGAGTGCTCTCACTGCAATAGAGCAGACTACTAAGAACAACTGTAGTCAATGTTGAGTGGAACTCTACCAAACTTACGGTAGAACAAAAGAACGATCCCGTTTTAAAGAAAATGCGACAATAGAAAGAGAAAAATCGTCGACTTACTTGACAAGAAGTACCAAATCTTTCTCCAGTATTTAAGTCATATTTGGCTCAGTGGGATTTTTTTATGCTAAAAGAAAGCCTATTAAAACAAATACTACAGAAAGATGATGGTTCCGAAAACAGAGGACATCTCGGTGTTAAGAAAACTCTTCAGAGAGTTTGTTACAGGTTGATTTTAGTTTTAACATAATTTAATGATTTTCGCACATAAAACACATTCTTAGTATAAAGAAGGTAACATGTTGGATCTATTTTTAAAATAATTAAATGATTATCGCATTTAAAACATATTCTTAGTATAAAGAATGTAACCTGTTGGTTCTATTTCTAAAATAATTAAATAATTATGGCATTTCAAACACATTCTTAGTATAACGAATGTAATTCTTACTAAACATTGCTTTGTATTGATTAAAACTTTGGTTAATTTAAATAATTATAGTATTTAAAACATATTCCTAATTAAAGAAATAATGCATTCAATACAGGTTTGTTTTGCTTTGAATACAACTCGGTTAGATTTAATTGGTAACACTTTTTTTGTTGTCTTACCTTTCGTATAAAGATCCTGCTGTATTTTAGAACTATATTCTATTAATTTCAATAAGTTTTCATTCCTCGCATCTAGTTATTCCATTATTTTCAGTGGTTTTCATTAAAATTGTACCTTTTGTTTTGATACTGTCTAATAATTATCGATTGTCGAATTTTGGTTATGAATCTTCTTCTTTTTAGTAAATTGTCGTGTCTACTTGTGTAGTTCAATAGTCAATTCTGTTCCGTGATAGAAATGTGGCTGAATAGTCGGCTAGAAATAATGAGGGAATATTTGGTGTGCTGTTATTTGGTATCGATACTTTTGATTGTCTATGACGTCATGTTGTGTTGAGGTGAATTTCTTGGAATATTATGCTGCCTATTTAATTATGGTTATTACAAAAGTACTATTATGAGGTATGCATTCATTTGGGATCAAGTTGGGCTTAGTTTGGAATGTTTTAAGGGAAATTGTTATAATCACCGGAAGTGTGGTTGAAAAAGTATGCATGTCATATCCTCCTGGTCAACGCCATTTTGTCTT